TATTAGATGAGATTGATGGAGAAGGTATCAGGGGTGGTGGATGGAAGCCGGACAGGGGGCGTTACGGAAGTTAGAAAGTTCTTCTCTGGCAATCCTGTGTGCTTAGGTCACCATTTCGGGTCTTGAACCTGCTAAGAAGGAGCCATAGAGATGGCTCAGTGAATAAAGTTTCTCCTGTGAGTGTGAGGATCAGAATTTGTTTCCCCAAGACCCACATAAAAAAATCCAGGCACGTGTGGTGACCTCCTGCAAACCCAGCACTCGGGAGGCCAAGACAGGTGGTCTCTAGGAGAAGCTGGCTAGCTAGACTAGGAGGACTTGGTGAGCTCCAGGTTCAGCCAGAGATCCTACTCAGTAAATAAGGTGGAGAGCAATTAGGGAAGACATCGAAAGTCAAACTCCAAACACAAACACAAGCGAACCCCCCATCCTGGACTCACACACATTCAAATATGCATGCACACACACATGCACACCACACACATATAGATATGCAAAGGGAAAAAAACCCACAATGAGCCAGATGGGCACAGCACACTGTGCACCATGCAACCCAACATAATTCAGTAACAGAAGAGCCTGGGGTATGTGGCAGGTGAGTGGTGGATTCAATTACTTCAGGGCTTGGCACCATACTGGGTTCCACCTGGGGTGGGAATAACTTGCTTACCTTCCCTAAGGGGCTTCATGGAAGGAAACACATGTTTGAGATTAAAAAAAAAAAATAATGCATGCCCAAGAAGGAGTTGGGGGGAGACAGTGTGTTGTTGTTGGACTTGGCTGCTGGTGCCAGCAGGCAGCTTGTGAGCACCCTGCCCCCTTTTTCTCCTTGAGATCTTACCAGAGTCCCCACATCCAGCAAATGGCCACATAAGCTACATGTACTTTCCCCAGTGACCCCTGTAGAGTGCAGGATGCTTTCCTGACCCTTTTTGAAGGGAGAGGGAGCCAGGCCCTGATTGGCTGAAATTCCACCCTCCCCAGCTAAGCATCCCTGGCCTCCTTCAGTGTCTCCAGATTGACTGCTGAATTATGTTTCCACACACGCCCATGATTTCCCAAATGAAGCTGACAATTAATTTTATGAGTTATTCTTTTCTCTTTTAATATGCAAGCGTTTTAATTTCCCCCAATTTCTGCCTGGAGGACCTACTCCAGGCCTTTTCAGCACACAGCGCCAGCAGCTGTAGGACACTCCAGGGACACTAAGTGACCTCCTAGCTGCAAAGGAAACATGCCTCAGCTATTGCCCACATAACCCTCCTGTGTCTAGGACTAAGCTCCAGGGTCTGCAGGGCAGGCTAAGTGGAAGTCATGACCAAGAGGGGCTGTGCACTTGAAGTCCCTGCTTATTCCAACACGGGTGACTAGGAAACAACCCAACCCCCTCCAGCCCCCCAACCCATGCCCCCGCCCCCTACCATACCAAGCCTTAGTCTTCTCTGCAGGCTCATATCTAGAGACCGTGTAGCCCACAGGGGTGACCCATCACTAGAAGTCACCTTGGAAAGGGAGCAGAAGCTGCTAGTGGCCCCTCTAACAGCCACACCCCTGCCTCCGTAAGTTACAGAATTGCACCCCTGCACCAGTGGAAAGACCACGCTTCCAGCTGCACCACACAGGGATGGCTCCCAGCTCCAAACAGGAGTTGGAATGACAAAGGAGTTTTCTTTGTTATAGTCTTTGTGCATATGTGTGTGAGAGATGTATGTATGTGTGTGTGTGATATGTGTGGCAGTGTACATGTGGGCTTGCATGAGAGTGCCGGCTTGCATGTGGAGGTCAGAGGACAACCTTAAGCACCTGTTTCCACCTTCCATCTCTGCCTCTCTGGGGCTAGAATTACAATCAGCTGCCAGCATAGCTGGCTTTTTTTTTTTTGTTTTTTTAACATAAGTTCTGGAAATCTAGTTTATATCTTTATCAATTGAACCGCCTCCCCGGCCCACATGTGATCTGATTTGAAAGAACAATGTACCTCCCAAATGCACACCCGAGTCCCTTCTCACTGCCCACCTCAGAGCAGGGAGAATCTGTAACTTTCCAGGCAGATTATTGTTCTTTGGGCTTTCCATGTAAAAGCTGCTTTCTTTAGGCCCCTTTCCTCTCGCCTGTACTCCACTGATGGATGTCTCTTCGGTGCTGGCTCTTTTTATGCCTACTTGATACACACACACTAGATCATTTGGGAAGAGGGACTCTCAACTGAGGGCATACCTCCCTAAGAGTTGCCTGTGATACATTTTCTTAATTAGTGATTTATGTGGGTGGTGCCATGTCTGGGCTGGTGGGTCCCAGATGCTATAAGAAAGAATGCTAAGCAAACCATGAGGAGCAAGTCAGTAAGCAGTATTCCTCCATGGCCTCTGCATCAGCTGCTGCCTCCAGGTTCCTGCCCTGAATTTAATAAAACCTGACTTCCTTCAGTGACAGAGTAGGACCTGAGAGTGGTAAGCAGGAGTCAACCCTTTCCTCCCCAAATTGCTTTTGGTCGTGGTGACTTTAATCACAACAGTAGAGACCCTAACTAAAACACCTTCCAACTCAGCATTTCCAACTTGTCACTCCCTCTTAAACCTATCATGGCTCTAAAGTGCCAAGTATATACCAGGCAAAGTCTCCAGCCTCAGCACCCTTTTTAATTAGGCCTTGATTTCTTTGGCTATACACGGAACTCAAGTGCTCTGGCAATAGAGTGAGGTAGCCAGCTAACAGTAATAGGGTATAACTCACAGCCATGTTCACAATTTTATAAAGATTTGCTTTATTTTTAATTATGTGCATGTGTATGCATGTATGTGCATTTGCATGTGAGTGAAGTGCCCACTGAGGCCAGAAGGAGGTGCCAGATCCCTGGAGCTGGAGTTACAGGCAGTTTTAAGTTGCCCAACATGGGTGCTGTAAGCACTCCTAACCACTGAGCCATCTCTCTAGCCGCCATGTCAGCCATTTTGAGTGTTTCCACGTTTACTGTTGATTTATTAAACAGAGTGATTAAAGTAAGCATTTATTGTCCAGGCTGTCCGCTGTTTGCCTCTTCAAATGGGTGGTCAGGAATCCCTTGCAGATGGACAAGCCCTGCCTGGCTGTCCAGCATTTTAATATTTCTGCTACTTGCTGGGCAAGCAGCGCTGACTGTTTTTAATTTATAAAGGAGGATTTATGGACTTTTGGATGACAACCGACAGCCAATCAATAAGGGCTGATAATAACAGCGTGTAATATCAAGGAACATTAGGTCTGAGGCAGGATTTGGGGAGAGAAGTGGGCAGTTAGAAACCTTATCATTTGAAAAAAGGTCACGGGCCCTGGTAGCAATAAAAATGCCTAAGCAAATAAAACCACACCTGTGAACTGAGAACCTCGTAAATTGCTGCAGGGGGAAGAAAGGCTTGGAGACTCCAGGAGGGAAATCATGTCCCCTGGCCAGGATATGGGTTGCTGTAGGACCAATGTGGCCATTAGGAAAGAGTCTATTTATTACTGTTTAGGACAACAATGACATGTGCACTTGGCGAATGTCACCCAGCTGCCTGGGATGCAACTAGAACCTTCCAGAAAGCAGAGGAGGAGTTACTCTCCCTAGAAAGGCTTAACTCTAAACCCCAGGGCTGAGTCTTAGCATGTATGTTGAGGACCTACTGGCTTTCTTTCTGACATTCTGCCTGATTATTTCTTGAAGGGGTGGGGTAGCTTTGATTGATCTTACATTGTTGGCTTGTATAATAAGAAAAAGAAAAGCACAAACCCATGAATTCCGTTCCTAATAACCATATTGCATAAACTAGAGCAGTATTGTGAATGGTTGCTTGCTTCACAAGGCAACCATTCTAGCACAGTGAACTGTACCAACCCATTGACCAAAAACCACAATTGTGATCCACTGAGGAAGGTGTGAATTCACAGACCTTCCTGAGACTCCATATATGATCAGATGTTAGACCCAAAGTTAACCTATAAGCCCCATCTGCCCCAGGACCAGGTAACTTCCTTGGATTCTGGGAGTTGGAGGTCTTGGAAACTAACAACAAAGCCTCATGGAGAAGCCTATGGGTTTTGCCCATATAAGCCCGACCAACACGTGTCTTGCACCACTTACCTGGAAAATTTCCAGGTGATGGTCCTGACCAAAGTTCCATCTTGATCGCTCTTTAATATTTATAATAAAAATCTTGCTTAAATTTAGCCGAAATGGTAGAACTGGTTTTTCTGGCAAATTTCAGGATTAACACAGGCCCTCCCAAGACTCCATATATGATGTGCATAGATCTTCTGTCCCCAGCTTCCAAAGGAACAAAAGCTGCTGGGACAGTATGCTTCTCCTTAGCAGTGATGCTGTGGTGAGGAGTAGGCAAGGAGAGGAAATCCCATTGACTTACTTATGGGTTAGACTTTCCCATAAGGCTCTTGGAGACTGAAGCTTCCAGAGAAATAATACACATGTCGAATTAAGCCTTCTACAAGGCTGGATGGCTGATTAGAATGTCCATGGTTTTGGAGAGTTGGAATGTTACAGGTCCAAAGTCAAATCATCTTGGGCTCTCTTTAGCCCTCAAAATCAGCATTCTGGCCCAGCTCCATGGGTGACTTAACATCCTTAAGATGGCTTTCGCTATCTACAAAAAAGTCCCTTAGCTTCCACCAACTCAGTCTGAGAATGTCATCAGACAGCATCTGAGGCCTATAACAGTGACGTTCCAGCTCTGCTCTGAGCTTTCCACCAAGGTATTTGAAAAGTGTCTTGATTTGTGACTTTCTCTGTTCTGTGACTAACACGATCTCATTTCTACAGTGGAGCATAGCTTTGGGGACAACCTGAGTCTGTGTTCTTTGTCTATGGTCAGTCCTGTTTGGTCCAGAATAAACAAACTCTTATCCATTCTGAGGTAAGACCTGTGTTTTTGTCGACACTTCCCTAGAGAGGTGCATATTCCAATCAGAGCTGGCTGACCCCCACCCCCAGTTTCCCATAGAGGTTCCCCCACCCACTTGTAGCTCACCTCCTTGTAAGGTGTACTCGGTCACCGCCCTGCTGAAGACACCCAGGCCTGCGCCATTGTAGGCAGCCACCTGGATCTCATACTGGGTCCAGATGATGAGGTCGGTGACCAGGCAGTAGTTCACCTCTGGGCTGCTGATGTTCCTCTGCTGGTATTCCCCGGGCAGGCCAGCCAGGCGGTACCTGTGGCAGAAAGGAAGAAGCATGAGGGCTGGGACACCACCCACGGTGGACTGTGATCACCTGGAGAGGATGACAGAGGTAATTGAGTATGAACTAGTCTTTGAGCTAGGCCTAACCACAGCTTGCCTTGGTCAGGGACTTTAAACATGCTATACTCTAATCTCACAGTGACTGTAAACTCCAGGTGAAGTGAAAGAGGCTTTCAACTCCGTATGGTCATGGGGAAGTTCTGTTGTTTTTGTTGCTGTTGCTTTGAGGTAGAGCCTTGACACTGTAGCCCAGCTGTCCTAGAACTTACCTTGTAGCCCAGGCTAGCCTCTGACTTGCAGGAATCCTCATGCCTCAACCTCTCAAGTGCTGGGACTGCAAGCGTGTACCACTCCATCCAGCCTCAGTTGCTTTTTTTTTTTTTTTTGCTTTTTTTTTTTTTTTTTGAGAAAATGTAACAGAAATGTCCCCAAACAAGAGAGACCAGCCAACGTCATGCTTAAAAACTGCAGTCAGTTGAGACTTAGACTGCCCCAGCTGCTGGAAGGAGGATATGGGGATACTGGAGGCTGAGGGAACCCAAATGATGGCTCCTTTCTTCCCTCTGCCCGCCCCTTCCTTCCTTCCTTCCTTCCTTCCTTCCTTCCTTCCTTCCTTCCTTCCTTCCTT